ATGATACCAGTTATACACGTGAAATCATACAAAACCTATTTCCGTATCAGATCAGTAAATATTTAAAAACATTTAAACAAACTAATTTTGAGGTGGAGAGAACATTAACTGACCATAATAAGCTCACAGGCCTAGGGCCAGAAGGGTTTCTAGTTCAAACCTCCATTGACCAAGAGGGAAACTGAGGTTCAGAGAGAGGTCCCCCAGCTAGTGAGGAGTAGACCCAAGGGTCACAGCTGTAAAGGCCCATATGGCTAGCTGCAGACCGAAGTCCCCACGACTTGGTTCTGTCACACTTTGTTTGACAGAAAAGGAAACTGAGGCCCCAAGAGAGAAAGCGGGGGCTGGAAGGTGGCCCCAGGGGCCATACAGTCCAACCCCTCACTTCATACAGGAGGCAGCTAAGGCCTGGCTGAGGGATTTACCCAAGGCTACTTAGTATGGACCAGGACCACTCATCACTGGCCCCAGACGGCTCCACAGGATACAGTGAGGCTGGCGACTTTGCACAGCCCTGCCTCACTTAAATCCAACTCACTTCATCACGGTCCTCTTCCACAAGGAAGGACAAACAACTCAGTCAGCACTTGTAGGACAGGAGATCTGAACCCAGGCCCTCTGGCTCTTCCCTCTTCCCCTTGGCTCCCTCCAAAGGGGCCCTTCGAAGGAGCAGCAGAGATGGAATTTGAAGACCCCACTCTTCATTTTCTCTGAGGAGCTTTTTGCCCTTCACTCGGACACCGGGAAACCATTGTTATTTGCTAAGGGCAAGGAGAAACCTTTGGGGTCAGAGAGCTAGGCCCAGCTCACACCCAGGGCCTAGCCACGAAAGCTGGGGCAGGAGGGAGGTCTCTCTGACTGCAGAGCCCTCTCAGGCTGACAGCTGGAGCAACAGGTGGTCCCCCCCTCCCCCCTCCCCCTCTGGGCCATGCCACTGACCATTGTCCCCTTGCAGACCTCCATTGCTACTCGGTCCTCTGAAAGGACCAGGGACTGAGGCCTGGAGAGCCAGCTTTGGAGGGCCGTAAGGGGCACAGGGCTAGGTTAGGGGGACCACCGGGCCGTGACGCTGAGTGGCTGTGCGCCCAGGACGAAGGACACCTGATGAGAGCTTTAGGAAGGGGCCAACCCCTTCAGTAACAGGGGCAGAAGACTTGTCCAAGGTCACACAGTGGTTAGTAGGAGCTTGAAGCCAAGGTCACTTCTTCCAACAACCCCGTGAAGGGGCTACTTGTTTCCTGTTGCTCCTGATATTTCTGCCCAATCCCCTCCTCCCACCACCGTGTTGGAGCTGGGACTGCCCCCTCCAAAGGTCCAGCCGGGTATGTCCCCAAGGGGCCTCAGGCACGGCAGACTTCATGGGGGAGCTTCCAGGGCTGGGGCATGATGACATGAAGCTCTCATTGGTTCTCCCGGTGCCATCTTCCCTCCGTGTCAGGGCAGCTGATTGTTTCATGCGGAAGGGAGGGATCCCTCTGAAAAGCATAATTGGTTCTCCTCTCCTCCCTCAGGCAAAGAGGAGCTAGTCCCTGAGACCCCTCTCAGGAGCTTAATTTTGTGCCTGTGGGGCATGTGGTCCTACCCTTCCCTGGGCCTCAGTTTCCTCATTTGTAAAAGGAGGGGGTTGGGCTACGCAGCCTCTTAGGTCTCCTCCAGCTCCAGGGCTCTGATCTCATGACCCAAGCTGCTGACCTTTATTAGGCCTCCCCTCCCAGGGCTATAAATCCTGCTACAAATATTCTTGTCCCTATGGATCCTTATCTTCTCTTCGATCTCTTTGGGGGTGCAGACCTAATAGAGCTATCCCTGGGTCAAAGCCTAGACACAATTTAGTAACTGGGGGGCATAATTCCAAACTGCTTTCCAGAATGGCTGGACCAGTCTATAGCTCTAACAATGCATCGGAGTGCCTATTTTCCCACAGCCCCTCCACCATCGGTCATTTTCCCTTTTGTCACTTTGCCAATCTGAGTGGTATGAGGTGGAACCTCAGAGTTGTTTGAATTTTCCATTTCTCTAATTATTAGTGAGTAGGAACTTTTTTTTTTTTAATATGGACATTGATGGTTTGGATTTTTTTTCTCTGAAAATTATTCTATTTCTCGTCTTTTTTTTTTCATTATTTGCCTTGAGTTGCTAGATCTTTATTCTTCCAAATTAATCTTTTTTCTTATTTTGCCTAGTTTTGTAATGTATCTCCTTCTGAGTCTGGTTGGGATAGCACTAAGCGTGTACATGAACTTCAGTGGGATGTCATTTTAATCTTTCTTGTTTCTAAATGGCCTGCTTGCAATTATATTTAGAAAGATTTCAGGCAATCCCCCTTCCCTTAAAACGCCCTGGCCAGTTCAGCTCCCCACTGACTGTGCCTCTGATAGTTTTAGGGTGAGAACAGTGCGGGGAGTTTTATATACAAAGAAATACAAAGCAATTTCAAGAGAGAGAGGGCACAAATGACTGGGGAAGAAAGGCAGAAGTAGCACCTGAGCTAAGGAAACTA